TTCCTTGAGCACAACTGGCTTTTTCTGCCTTAGAATCTTTCTTTCTCAGTGTAGTGTGTGGTTAAGCATGTGGGATCTGGAGTTAGACTGCCTGGGCTCAAATCAGGGCTCTGCTGCTTATTAGCTCCAAGACCTTTGACAGGTCACCTAACCACTCTGTGGCTCAGTCTTCTAATCTGTAAAATGGGAATAATGATAGAAACTACTTCATAGTAGTGTTGCTGCATTAAATGAGCTAATATAAATAGCACATAGGGCAGTGTCTGGACCATATAAGGTGCTCAATAAATATGAGGCATCATGAGGCTATCAGGCATGTGCTTCTCTTGCTTGTTATCAAGTGGCCTCCTTCAATTCAGTCAAACATCAACTCAAATACCACTGCCTCACAAAGGCCTCTCTGCCAATTTTGTTCAAGTATCGGTTGCCCAAGTATCCCATGAGACCTCTGCAGTTCAGGTGGGAGGATTGTCGGTTAATCCAGGCCAAGTTTGATCATGTCATTCACCTTGCCAGGGATGATGGATTTAGGCTTGGTCATGTGATGCCATTCAGCCTCCTCAAAGATGGAGTATTCAGGGCAGTTCATTCCTCTTCACAAAGGAAGCAAGAAATCTCACTCCTTCATTTATCACTTACGGAATTGTAGCAGTCACCATACATTTAGGAGAAGAAAGCCGGAAACATTCCAGAGCCTGACATTGTTTTATTGCTGAGTCAACCAACCCCAGAACTGCCTACCTGCAGGTTTCATTATGTGAGATAACATTGCTATAGTTTAAGCTTTAATTGGGGTTTGCTATTTGTATGAGTCCTAGCTGACACACCTTCCATGACCACCCTAGATAAATTGGCCAAATGCCTGCCCTCCCTAGTAATTTTTTTCCCCTCACTTGTGATTATTCAATATTATCACATTTGTTTGTTAAATGGTTTGGCCGTTTAAATCTGTCTGACCAATGTTTCATCTGACAAATGTTTCATGTCATTTGTCTGAAATGAAACTCCCTGAAAGCGGAGATCAGCCTGCCTTCTACATCCCAGAGACCTTGGGCCTAGGATAGTACCTGACACATGTATGAATGTGTGTTGTCAAATTTCAAAAAGGAGGGGAAGAGGAGTTGAGAATAAGAAATCAAAGCCCATTTCTATACATGTCCATGCTGCTCAATAGCTGGATAACATTGGGTAAGTTTCTTAATTTCTCTGTACTCAATTACCTTATGTTTATTAAAATTTATTCACACAAGGCTATAATGAGGTTTGGATGAAAGGTCACATGTGAGAGAGCTTTGCAAATGGAACAGCAAAGTACAAATGTGATGGAGTATTACTTTTCCTCTATGAATAACACATGATTTTCATCCAAATTGCTTAGCGCTATTATTGTTTAAGGTCATAAAAGAATGTCCCTTAAGAAAAACATTCAAATTTAACTTTCCGAATAGGTAACTGACATGAATTAGAAATGCTATAGTAGCATAGCGCTGTGAGATTTACTTTTCTGGGGTATTGAATGCAAATTTTCTCACTTTTCTGGACACTATAAAGAGTTTTTTCTCCCAGAGTATTCTGTAAAAAATTTTTAATTCCTAACAAAAGAGGTCAGACTTACCAAAGGCAGCATTAGATCAAAGAAAAAAAAAAAGGTACTGTCATTCCTACTCCATGGCCAACAGAAATCTATTTTTTTTTAAAAAAATCCCATCTCAAGCTCTTTACTGTGTTTTCTATTTTTAAAAATTCAAATTCAGGGCTGATCCAATGGCCTAGTATGCTCCAACCTTCAGTGGTCCAGGTTCATGGGTTCGCATCCTGGGTGCAGACCTACACCACTCATCAGCCATGCTGTGGAGGCAATCCACACACAAAAAAATAGAGGAAGATTGGCACCAATGTTAGCTCAGGGCTAAAAAAAAAAAATCCAAATTCAATCTTCATCAGGATAATGAGGCAGGGAGAGCAGAGAACTTCTCCTAACATCTGCATTTATTCAACAAATAGCCAGATCCGACTAACCCACACAATGCCACTGGCATATTTAATTTTACCTGTGGCCCAGGGAACGCTATTCTTCCTGATCAAATAGATTGCCATTAAGCCCTCAACAAGATAGGTTAAAGAGAGAGAAAATAGCATCTCATGTGTAGCCAATAAGTGAACCAATTAAACCTATTTAAGAACAAACCCTAATGTGGTCTGTGGTTCCAGGTATTTTAATTGAAGCCATCTCACAGGTTCCCAACCCCTTTATGAGGTTATTATTTGTAATAGAGCATGTTAAATGACTGTTTAAGAAGAAATCGTCTTCTTTTTTCATGTTATTATGTTCATTAAGGTTAAACTAAATATTTCTTAGATACCAAATGGCAAGCATCAATATGGCAACACTCATTTATCCAGGTGTGTGTCTGGAACATAGGTGTGATCTGTGAAGTCTACACAACAGCATATGCACTTTACTTATAGGAGAGATCATCAGAAATGCATTCTGAGTTCATTAATTTGTACTTTAGAAGTAGTTATAACAAAAACAAGGGTTCTTCCTGTGCAGAAAAACAGCAACTTTAGAATCTTTTCATTTAACTCTCCCTATTACACTGTGAGGTAGAGTGAGGTAGGTGTGTTTAGATGTATTTGTGGCATTTAATGGGAATGTGACCAAAATTTAGGGTGACTACAGCCCCACAGAGCACCTCTCCCTCCCTTAGAGATTCTGGACTGAACTCTGTGAAAACACAGTGAATACTGGCGGAAAGAAAATGAAAAACTACTGCCTAATTATTAACTGTGTCAGCGCCATCATGGGCCCACTAAGAAAAAGACACTGGTCTCCACCCTCCCCCAGGCCTTCAATCCAAATTTTGTCATCCTCTCACCCCCCTAATGACGTAATAGGAGAGAGAAGGAGCTGCCATGCTCCAAGTGGAGGCCTCAAGCCTGTAGGTGTGACCACATAATGCCCATTGAATCTGTCTACTAGTAAATGGGCATAATTAATACTCCAGACGTTGAGCCATTTGATGAGAAATCCCTCCTTTCATGAGTGGTGGAGTGATCTAGGATGGATGGGGCAGACAGGCAGGGGGAAAGGAAATAGCTTTCTCTCCTCTACAGATGCCACTGCTTTCATTGTGTAGGTGAGAGAACAGGCTCAGAGCGGTCACCTATTTCTCTGAGTTTCACAGCTGGTAAGGGGCAGAGCCAGATTTGAAGTCAGGTCTGCATGATTCTAATTGACTCCAAATGGCCCCGCTTGTCCTTTTCCCCTGTCCTGTGCCGTTTTCCCAAATTATCTGTTATTTGGCTCCTTAATATGTAGCAATTGAGGCACAAAAAATAGCAGGTGGTGAAGGCATTACTACAGGCACACAACAGACCATTGCCTAAAGGGACAGAAAAGTCACACCAGCGTCATGTGAGTGACTTACAGCTACTAATGGAATTTTGCTTTTTATAAACACAGAAAAGAACTACACCCCCCCACCCCATCCTCACACACATCACTACTAGCCATTTGATGTAGGAAGAAATTACTCACTATTCCTCTCCAGCATCTAAGGCCATCCATCATGTTACAACTCAAAATTATATTGATCATCCAAAGCATAGAAGTCACCAAGAGAAATATGTAGTGTAATTTATTTTAAAAGGCAGGAAAGTTATAATAAAAGGATTCTATATACATATTTTGTGACATAGCAGTCCCTCAAAAATGAACTGCTGAAAAGAAGAGAGTTTTATGGCCAGATAAGATTTTGAATTACAGCATTTTATGTAAGTCTTTAGATGATTCACACTACATATTACCATGTAAATTAATAAATGTAATAATAAATAGTCCTTTTTCATTTGTGCTGTTTAACTCAGCATTGTGTAAACTTATTTGACCTTAAAAACTCTTTTATCTCCCTCATAATACAAGCCATGGGACTGGATTTCAAGAGAATTCACTATGAAAAACACAAGTATAGTAAATTCTGGAAATATTTAACTCAGAAGATGTAAATAAAAGTTTTCCCCTTTTCGACATCTTTCACAAAGAAAAGTCCTGGTCCTTAGCAGGGTAAAGTCCAGATGCCTGGAGTGTTCCCTAGGAGCATGGCGAGCCACTGAGTGAACAGAGCTTTACTTCATCATGCTAAAGTGTTCTCAGAGAAATTCAAACATTTTTAGGATGAAATGTTGTTTTAGGACTATAAATTGAATGGATCCATTTTCCAATAATAGTCTGCCTAAGTAAAAGAGCTCAGAAAAGTCTAGTGCCTTTGCTTATTATGATAACCAAATCTGATCAAAGATTAGAATCCCATTGACGTTCCGGTCATTGACCCTGACCCTCATAAAATCGACCTCGGGTTATCGAAAACTTGCTTCCTCAGAAGAGACACTTTCTTTTCCCCATGAATCTTTTTTTTTTTTAAGCTGAGTCACTGACAGGAAATAAAACAATTCTAAGGGCAGTTTAAAATCAGACCCACAACTAACAATCCTCACATCATCTCACCACCTATGTAAGGGAGGAAGTAGACAAAGGAAAAAAAATATTATAAAGAATAGCGTTCATTACTTCAAGGACCTTATATGTTTTCATTTTTTCTCAGATAAAATAGTTACAGAGACCCTCTTTACTGTAGAATGCTGTCTGTCCTCTCATTTGAAAATATTTACGTTTAGCCCCGGTGCTCAGACCTGTCCCTCAGACATAAGAGGACTGACTGGCCTGATGTAATTATCATGCTGAAAAAAAAAAAGACTGTTATGTCAAAACTGCAGTAAACATCAAGAAGAAAATAGACGGACACTATTTTCTGCATTTTAAGCAAACTCCCCATCAGGGAAGCTAATAGACCATCACAACCAGCAGTCAAAGGACAGGCACCTTTTTGTCACAGATTCTCAGTTCTTTCTGTTGTAAATAGATGCAATGAAGCATTTGAAACTGCCAAGTGACAACACAGAGAATACCTAAAATCTTTTTTTTCCCTTTCTCTCTACAGCAAATCAACAGACTATGTCCTCCTCTCCTACGTTTTGTCTGACAAGCAGCATTTTTTTAATAAAAGACAGGTGAACGAGTAAATGAATGCAGTGCAGATCCAGTGCAGATAGCTGCCTGCTGGCTGTGTTGGAACCAGGGAGACGTCAAATGGGTAGGGTATGAGTCGCTCTCATCACTCAAACCCAAAGGGTTTCAAATTTAGTGATTGTTTTCTATCTAATGGCAGAAGGTGCTGATTCTTCCTTGTTATCAACAATAACCCCCTGAATACACCTGTGAAAGAACTCTCAAGCCCCTTGTGCCTGGGATTTCTTATCCTACAGGACACTGTAACCTGGTGGGGAGTCCTACTTGGGCCTCAGGGAAGTAGATGTCATTGTGCAGGGCCTGGAGTTAGACTCCAACAGAAACTTGCCAGTGTACTGGATTCTGCCATGCCACATCTCAGCAGCAAATTCTCTTCTTATTTTTCCATGCCCTATTTTAGACAAAGTTTCTAGGATATTCTGGCTCTCTCTCTTTGACACCCCCACCACCCTGCACCTCCAAAATCATCACTAGTCTGTTACCTGGAGATCCTTTGATTCTCCATATCTGGTCCAGAGCTGGAAAAGATCTGACATACTATATGGTTAGATGCGATTTCTTTCCCTAGGGGCTGCAATTCTCTGCCTATGATTTGCTAACATCTTGATGAACCCCTCCTCTTCCCAGCATGCCATTGAATTGATGCTGCACTGTACAACGTTCTAGTCTCCTGTAGAAAGCTGGTGCACAGAGCTGGGGGAAAGTGGTAGAGAGAGCAGGAATGGCATTGGGCATTGAATATAGAGATCAGATCATGGTGCAGGACAGTAACCACCTCAGGTACCATGTTCAGATGGAGGTATGAAACGGAGTGCCAATATGGTGTAGTCTACGAATAAACTAAGGGAGATTTGAGAAAACCATGTGGAACAATCCTGGAGGACCCAGCTTTATTGGTCAGTTTGTCATACTTAGGTAATACACTGGTTTTAAGATACAATGTCCAGAATATACATATTAAACAAATTCTTAAAAGACAAGGATGGAACTCTGAGAAGCAGTCTTTGAACAAAAGGATAATAGAGTGTAGAAAGTTAATACTCTTAGGACTCAGGATAATAAATAAGAAAATGTCTCGTTCTCAAGGACTTTGGAGCCTATGTGGAATGTCGGCATGTATATGTTATAGTACCAAAAAATAAACCCTATCCTAGAAATCAAAATCAAGCGCTATGAAAGGGCACCAAGTAACTCTAGGTGGAAGAGCCAGATGGGATCTCACAGAAGAGGTAATAATTGGGTTGGATCATAAAGCAGAGGTTGCAGCACATGAGGAGTGAAAAAGAAAGAGGGCATTCCTGGCAGCTGGATCAGAATGACAAGAGCAGAGAGAGGTGCCAGGTATGTTCAAAGGATAAGACAGAGTTTGGTCTCATAAGAATGATTATCTCAACATTATTTGCGATAACAAAAAGTGAAAACAATTTAAGTATGAGGCAGTCATACCAGTTGGGACTCATAAAAGGCTGACCAAGACACTTAAAAGGAAAAACTGGGGAGTGAGATGTCCAAAGGAGGCTTCGGAAATGGCTGACATATTCCTGAGAATCTGGAAGTCCACATGCATGTGGGCTGTGTACATGCCCAGGAAATACAGGAGAAGGCCCTAATCTCTCACTTCTGGCTGACCTTGAGACTTTGCACAGGCAGGAAGTGAAGACTAAAGCAGAGTTGGAAACTGCTTGCTGGAGCTTTGAAGATGTGTCCCACAACACCCAGAGCCTCTCAGCAAAGACTATTAGACTTATTTGGTCCAAGACATAAAAGGAAATCTCTGTCCCATCATTAGGTGACCTCTAGGCCAACTGAATAAAGACTTCAGTGGCTACACACAACCAAGAACAAACAGTTACAAAAAAACAGCAGAAATAGAAACAACCAAAAGCACCAACATTATGAGAAATGTCAAGAAACAGGAATGTATGGCCCATACATAGGAAGAAAGCATTCACTAGAAACTTTCCCGAAGGAAACCCCGACATTGGACTTCATAGGCAAAGAGTTTAAGTCAATATTGCATATGTGTTCAAATAACTAAAATAAATCTTGTCTAAAAAACTAAATGAAAGTATGAAACTGAAATTGATTTTATTTTAAAGAATGTAAAGCTCACTCACCATCATTCTGTGCTAATTTTCACATGGGTGGCTCTTCTCCTGTAGTCTTCTTTGGGACTGCACTTCCTCATCACTTATGCATCACATTCTACTGGCCCTTTGAGGACCAGCCAGTCCAGCTGGAGCACTGATCTTGGCTGTATTAAAAGTCCCTTCCACTCACCTGCCACTGGGCATGGCCTGCCTTCTAGTGCTGGGTATCTTCTCCCCTGTTTATTTATTGTTCTCTATCTAGACTATGAACTCTTGGAAGATGGATCCACATCTGTTTGCTGTTGTCACGCCCAGAATGTTTGCATAGTCATATGCACATACTCCATTCTAAGATATTATTTGTAAAAGTTCTACATGAATAAACTGGTACAGTATCTTGCCAAAGTTTAGATCCTGAGTCTCAGAGTATAAGAGCATTTTTCTTTCTAAATACACTACAGAAAAGATGAGAAAAGATATAGAAAAGGATCAGGATTGCATCCACAGAAAAAAGACATTGGCTGATGACAAGGCCTTGATATGACTCCAAACTATTTTAGGAGATATTTTTAGGGAGTCCCATATAACAATGACAATAAAAATGATAATAAATCAAATATATACTGTTTATTTTGCTAGTGCTAAGTCCCTTTTAAACATTTTATATGCATTTTATCTCCATTAAATTCTTACAGCTACCTTTACCTAAGTACAGATGAGGAAATAGAGGTCCAGAGGGGTTAAGTAATTTGCCGCTTGCTAGTCACTGTCAGTTTCAGAGCCTGTGTTCATGATGTCTCTGTGTATGCATGCTACATTGAGACCTTTCTGTGAAATGTGAAATTGCCCTCATCTAGGCCATCTCTATTCCCAGATCCCATGGCCCCTGTTTCCAGAGCAGAGTGTTTAAGATGGCTGTAGCTTCTTAGCTATTTCAGAGCTTCTCTTATTATCTTAATCTGGTTTATTCCTCAGGCAAATTGGAAATAACTTCTCCACTGACCCAATGTGATTATTGTTAAGAACTTTTTTAATAGACGCCCAAGTTCCTTGTATCCGTGAATTCACTTTCCTGGCACCCAGAGGAAAATGTTGAGAATGTGAGGGAAAGCATATGTTCACCCTCTGTAGAAGCCCTTCTTAGGTACTTGGTCAAAAGAAGAGGTGTGGAAACCTCAATTCAGCTCAAATTTCAAGCAGGATATGCAGAGATATCTAAGTCTTTGAGATTTCCATTTCCCGATAAGAAAACAATTCAAGTCGGTTATTAAGACTATCAACATAAAATGGATTTCGGAGACCTGATTTGATTTTAAAATATCAGACTCTGGAAACCAATTTATGAAAAGGAATTGGTGTGAATAACCAGCTGTAATCTCATAAGCATGTGGATGACGTGTTCCTTCATCTGGCCATTCTCACTGTTTTATATTAAAGCTTGTTGAGAAATGCCTGGCTAGGCATTCACGCAAACAGATTTCACCTTGCTCTGGGAAGAATTATCTTGGATCTTATACAAATCTCTTCTTTATGAGAGCTGGGGCCTCTTAAGCCTGAGAAGATAGTCTGGGCTACCCTAATTTGCTGGGGAAAGGGGCAACATGTGAACAGAATGTGGAGTCCCCAGCTTTCTCCTGTGGACACATCTGCAAGGTTTGGGGCCACAGTTTTGCAGACATTAGGCCTCATTGGCCTTTATGAACAGGACAGTGAGGCTGTGTCAGGGCTGTTCACTGTGCAGACCCCTGTGGATCCAGGAAGGCTAAACATCTGGGGCATTTTGTGCATTGAAGTATTGCAAATTTGATGTCTCTGCTGTTCTGTGCTCACAATGTGATGACAGTAATGGGACAACCTTTCATTATAGCAACAGTGGTTCTGAGGAGAAAACATTTCTCTTCTTTCCTACAGCTCTAACTTCTGACTTTATTCCTAACCCTCTGCTCACATCCTCCCCTATTTCCAGTTACAAAGACTCACTTGCCTCTCAGAGCGGGTGCAATGTCTCTGCCTCCCTGGTTTTTCAACACCTTTCCTGCCATGGCCCGGAAAGTCTTGACTGTTTTCTTTCCAGGAACAGTGTTTGTATTCTGTGTTTCAGCACCACAAATGCTTTCCCACTCCTAGAGCCTCTCTACTTGTTTAGTGTGAATGAACTGTCTTTTTCACTCCTGGAATGTTTCCTTCAATTCTAAGTTTGTGTTTGTGGTGCTAAAAACTTCTTCATTCTAACCTGTTGGGCAAAGCAAATCTCTTCTCTCCTGCAGGCAAAGCCTGAAGCTGTCCTCTAAGAGGAAGAAATGACCTTGGAACTCATCCTTTTGGTATCCCCTCATGTTTCCTCTCTGCCCATCAAGACACCTAGGATGGCTCCTTGACAGGAGAGTGAAGGCTACCTCATTTTCTAACTCAACCACATTGTATTAGCCAAGGTCCTCCAGAGAAACAGAGCCAATAGGATTTATATGAAGAGATTTATTATAGGAATTGGCTCATGTAATTATGGAGGCCAAAAAAATCCCACGATCTGCCCTCTGTAACCTGAGAGAGTTATAAAGTCTGAAATGCTAGGATAATGAGGATAGGGAGAATGATATCATTAAAACTGTGCTTTGAGAAAATGAATATAGGAATAGGGTCAAAGAGAAGAGTGAGACAACAGACAGCAGTATACTGCACAACACAATCATTTCAGTTTGGATTGCTAGACTCCACACAAGGATAGATGGAAAGGAACTTTCTAACTTGTTGGATAAATTGTCAGCATTCAATTTTCCTTGCTTGTGGGAGTTGTGGTGCAACTAATGGGATTGACTAATGCAAAAGGAACTGGTGTGTTAATTTTTCATACATCATCAGCATATTTCTGAAGCAATCCTACCACCTGATTATGTCCTGCTTAGGCTAGCACTAAAATTTACATTACACAATTAAGAAAGATATGGCTGCCAGGAAGTTGGGTGAGATATAAAGACAAACTTCCTGGTGCTGAAAGGTAGGAAAGACAGGAGAGTGAAGGTGATTGAGAGGAATCTTCACTTGTTCTGCTGTAGTGATGTTGATATTAGATTTTCGTTTCACCATTTATTTACAGGCTCCCGTGTGGCAGAGACTGACCCCTGCATGAGGCTGAAATTTACAGAGGGTGATCCGCGTTGGTT